CCTCTCTCTCTCTCTTATGTGATACTATTTTAACCGTTATTTAAATAAGTTCCGGAAATATTGGCTGTTTACTCCAAAGCATAATAACATTAATAGCATGATAGCATACGAGGCATATTGTTATTTGTACTTCACTTCCCAAAGGAAGACTATGAAATCGGCCTTCAAAATTAATCTATTTACTCCAGTTATTAGTTAAAATATATGTTTAACAAATACTCATATTTATTTCAAAAAAAAAAATAATCTCGCTGAAAATTCCAATAATTTAGCAAAATTTGAAACCATGAGTAGTTGGACGAAAATTTGATAGAAAAAAAATTTGATAGAAGTATGACTGTTCTCGACTTTGTATTTAACCTTTTTTGTGTATTTCTCATTCAAGAATTTACTCCACCTTTCATTGATTTCTCTCAAAGCCTAAAAAGCTTTTGAAAAAAAGTTATCCTTTCATATTATCGTACTTATTTACTTTTTTGCCTTTCCAGACTTTCCCCTGATTTGCAGATTTTTACAAATTTTGATAGAATTTTGTGGATTTTCATGAATTTTGTTAACTTCTTCATAAAATTTTGACAAGACTTATCGCATTTGATTTTATGTAAATGTTAGCCTGTCAAAAAGTTTTTCACTTGACATTCATAAATAAGCCACAAGGAAGGCTAATTAGCGATTGTTTTGTTTACTAATTTCATGCATTTTAAACACGGAGGTATATGAATTTGGCTATTGATTTGTGATATTGTTTCATTTCAACCAATTAAATTTGACAGGCACTGAATTTTTTGAAATCCTTTGCATCCATCCTTCTTCTCTGTTATCCTCACTGAGCTTACGACCTAGCTATTTAAATTTGAAAGTAGCAGAAATTGGTTTTTGCTTGTGACGAGAAATAGCTAAATATTGTTTATTTCCCAAAATTGCCATCTTTAATGAATAATTTAAATAGCATATTTGGCACAATTATCTACCTACAAAACAAAAATAAGCGGAAATAGGAAGTTATTTCTAAGTGAGTTTGTAAGTATGTCCTTGCAAAGTCCTAAAAAGCGGAAAGACCACAAGAAGAGAGGTGACAAATTCAATGGCTAAGTATTTTTTTGAACATAATAAGTGAAGAAATTGAAATGGAAAACTTACTAATTTGTTTTTCTTTTTCTACCTCTCTCCCTTTTTTTTGCCATCTTTTAGGTTGTAAATATTTATTATTTATTACTATCATCTTTATCTATAATGGCTCCAAAAATTCAAATATCAATGGATAGTTTTTTTATTAAAGCATCAAAAAATGCCATCAATTTGCATAGTTATTTGAAGCCAATGAAAAGCCAACAGATATGAATCTTTTCTTCCTTTTTTTTTTTTTTTTTTAATATATATTCAAATATTTGGTGGGAAAGAAGCACATAGAAGGGCTTATTTAATGATAGTAAACCCTTTTATTCTTCCCGTAAAAAGCTGCTAAAAACTATTCGAAATACTTTTTATTGTAACAAATGACGCAATACTTCCATCGTTATTTATCACTGGACTATTGCAACACCCACCTTCCAATGCTTCCTCTAACACTTCGATTGTATTACAGACGATGTCATTATGCTAGCTAAACTTTTAACTTTCAAATTTTAAAATAAAATGAAGTTTTGAGCTTTCTTAAAGTTTGAAAGTTTAATGAGCGTTAATTTCCTCTGCTTTCTGAAGTATTTCTAAAAAATGAAGTAAGATCATTTGTGATCGATGATGAATATTTCTTCTACACCAGTAAGAGATCATTTACTACAGGCCTGTTGGAAATAATAATTTGTTTTCCAGAACATCCATTAAGTATCGGATGCTTCAAGACTAGATAGGTAATTGGTGGATGCATACTCAAATATACTCAATACAATTCATGGATTGCAAGAATCGGTCTAACGAAATTCAGCATCCTAATTATGCTAACACTATAAAACAAAACAATTGTTTATGATTTTTGCAGGCAAGAACTTGATTACTTAATGAATTTATAACATTTCAAGAAATTTCAAGCATCAAATTTGAAACAGATTAATATTGGCCCCTTGTTTGATGTTGCACCGGTCACTGATGGACATTAATTAATCATTCAAAATGGCATTTACAAATTCATAGGCATTCATTTGGGGGAGTAGCCGATGCCTGCTATATTTCGTTGTGGTGCATCAATGAAAAATTCGAATTTTCAAGTATTTGATGTTGTGGTTGCCGCCTGTAGCGGATCGTCCTTGTCCTTGTCAACCATATCTTGTTCCATGCCAGTACTATTTCCTCAGCCTAACCTTGTTGATATTTTGCTTCTCTTTTGTTTCGTTCCAATTAACTGACAAATGTTATCCGTTACACAGGAATGATTGGTAGTGACCTTCAAAATTCATTTGAACAGTGGACAAACTGTAGATTCCTTTGTCATATGTAGCAGACAGCTCGGCTTGATGACAGACGAGTCCAAGCTTGAGCGATGTTGACATTTTCAAAATTTCATCAAAACATAATTCAAACTTCAAAGTTTTTCAAAGTTTGAATATGATATTTATTAAAAATTTCATGGTACATTCATCAAAAATTGTTTTCCTATAGAAAAATATACTCATATTTCATTCGTTTTTGCTTTCGCAATGAGAACTGAAATCAATGTGAAAGCCAGAAAATAATACCAAGAATACTGAACAACTGATAATGTTTAATATGAAAGTAAAGTAAAGGAGAATGATTTGAAGGGGAAATCCTTTAGTTAATCTTTCTTCTTCAGATATAAATTCCGTCTTCTTTGCGACATTTTTCTAATTGTACCAGAAAGAAATGAATGCTCGAATTATTAGCATCTCATTATTGTCAAAATTACTGCAATTGTTGCAGTCAATAATTCATAAAAGTAGTGAACAATTTGAAAATTTGAATTTATACCATCATTATGTTTGTGGAAGAGAATCGAATCGATTGAAGTGAAAAAACGATAGGAACGCTATTTATTTACTCATCTAAAGGACAGTTTGCGGAGCGAACAGAGCGATCCTATCGATCATCGATAATTCTCGTCTCCCCACTAATATACACAAACACACCGTACCAGCAACCATATCAAATATAAATTAACATTTCTAATGGCGATCACATATTGCACTCCCACATTCGTTATTTAAATTTCATATGGTAATTATGTATTATTATAATGGAATTTTTTTAAATTTCAAAAATTAAAATTTTTTCTTCCATCCCAATGTACAAGGAATTATGCCATTTTATTGAGGAAAATTTGAAAATATTTCAATAGCGTTGAATTTAAACAAATATCTTGAAAAGAAAGAGAAAATCCTGTTCAAATTCTTTATTATTTAACCTTACCTTTTTTTTTCAACTTTTCCACTCAATATTCATTTCTTTCCTTAAACATTTGTTGCACCTAGCAAATTTCAAACTTCATCGTTGTTTCTAACTCTCATCATCATCATTTATTACACTTAATTATCCCTTTACTTTTATTCTATTTAAAGTTAGCTAATAATTGTTTTCCAAATATTCTATTAAATGACTGATAATTAGACATGCCAGAATTAACCAATGAAAACTTCTTGTAGCAAAACACTCTATGTTTTACCATGTTAAACAGTCTGGGATGAAGTTCTAAAGATGTGACTGCTTGAACGATGGCTAATTGCTCCTTTCACCAGAAATTTTTGTGTATTAAAAATCAAACGAGGTTAAAGGTCGTTTTGACAAAATCCCTCAGTCAAATAGAAAATTTGCGCTGATCGAAATTAAATGTTGCATCAAATCAGTCAGCGAATGATGGATAGCTGCAATCAAAGGTGATATTTATTCTTTGAGAGCTTCTCAAACTGCCACGAACAAAATACGAAAGCATTTGTAGACTTCCGTCAGAGATTTCTTCATGATGATGAGAGTATTATCACTCTCAAAGATTTTCTTTCATTCATTAGGGTATCCGATACAAAATATTACTTCAGTTCATTAGCAATATCCGATATAGACCAGTTAGCCTACATTTGAATCGATCTTCTCCAGTCCCTTACTATTTCAAAATATATCTGAATAAATGGTTTTATTTCGGGAAAATAATTATGACTAGTTGAGATGGCAGGTGCACTGGAGCATTTTCAACGGTTATCCGTAAAGTGGTTGACCCTAAATGGCCACTTAAAGTTTAAATTGCCTATGTCCAGTCCGGCTGAATTTATTCAATTCTCTTCCTGCATTTTTGATATGTCTTTTGAACTGCTTAACTCTAATCCTCGTTTGCTGTCAGCAGGTTTGATCATTACTATCATACCAAGCAATTAAATTCAAAATCTACTCGTCTGTCATTCATTACCTCATTTACTCGCAGCGTTAACCTCTGGATTCAAATGTTCGCCGATGGACGACAGTATAATCGAAAACTCCGCCTTCACACTTCTCAATACCTCACTGATCGTTCTCTACATGACATCTGTGGCACCGAAATATTAAACTAATGAAGAATCAGGAAGGAAAAGAATCACTGTCTTGTCTCTGAACACAATCAATCAGTCCTCAGAAGATTACTGCCTATAACATATACTTCTGTTAACCCAAAAAGGGAGCAAAGATTCACAAATTTCGAACATTCAGGTTAATAAAGACCTGAGAGTAACTTCTATCTCGAAGAATACTGAAGAGCTATCCAACAGTAAGGCTGATGAGACTGCAGTACGACTGCAATATCGTTTGCAAACCTTTTGAAATAGAACAGGAAATTAATTATTAAATTCCACTGAGTTTTTGCAATTTTTTGAATTTCCAAGTACTTCTATTTTTAAGTTCTCACATATTCGATGAGTTTTTGCATATTTTTGCATAATTTTCTGCTGTAATCTCTTCCTTACTGTAATGTGCTTTTAAAAACTTTTGATAGGATAATATGCATATGAAATCTTACACTGCTAAGGAACCACAAGCAATCCAATGCGAAAAAGTATATGACAAGTGTCAAACTGACATGACAACATAATTTGCTGATGGAAAGCAAATTACTTCCTAAGATCAATCAAACAATTTACTGAAATTATTTCAAAAAATTGGCATATGCTATGAAAAATTGTAATCAATAAAATGTTTTAAAAAATCTTTTAAATTTTAAGATACTGCAAAAAAGATATAGGAAAATTTGAAGATTCAATAATCTTCATAATTTTCACTAAACCAGACAATACAGATCAGGAATATAAGCAAATGGTTTTCTTTTCCGATTTCCCATAAAATTACGCACGATAATTACTTATAAGTAATTATTGAACTGCAGAAGAAATCATTTATTTATTAATTCCAGAAGAAATCCTTATCATTTAAAGTCCTGACTTACAACTTTTATAAACTGCCCAATGACGCATAAAGTGATGGAGTATAATTTAGCAATCATTCTGTTTTTCCGACGATATTCAAGCATCCGCCAATTTTTCATCAAAGTGATTTTTGATTTCCCTATCAGTTAGCTTCAAATGAAACAACATTTGCCTGTAATAAACGATGAATTTACGCAAACACAAGTTTGATAGCAGAATAAAACAAAGCAGAAATTTGAATTTTATTTTTATAAATTGAAGAGAGTGTGTTGTGTCGAAATATTCGAAATGGAAAAATCGTTGACAAGGTGAATGATTGAAAGAACTGCAGAAAAAAACACCAAAGGTATGCTAATTTTTTGTTTTTTGTGGTAGGTTGATAAATTTTTTTGAAAATAACATGTTTTTTTCCTATCACTAGTGATAAGCGTTATCAAAGATTTCTTTATTCTATCAGTAATGAATGAATTAGAGATTCTTTGATAAAAAGTTTGCAGACATTTTCCAAAAATTTCTAAAATACTCTTTTTAAATCAATACAAATCTTCCTAAGAATTTTTTTAGAACAACCTATGAAATTGACAAGGAATTAGATTTTCTGACTGAATTTTAAAAAAATTAATCCAAATCTTCTTCATTACCCAACTAGCCAATGCGGAGCATATCATTTTTTTGAAGGTCAGGTTTTTGTCACCGATTAAATTATAGCTTTTTTTACCTTTTGAAAAATTTAATTTTGTTGATAATAGTCTAATGGGACGTGTACATGTATATATATCTATATATGTGTGTGTTTGTGTGTGTGTATATATATATATATGTGTATGTATGTTCGTGTGTCTGATGGTGTCGACCAAATCGGTCACCGATCAAATGATTAATGAAGATTGTGTGCCTTTTCCGCACCCAATATTGATGATGTAATGTCCCAAATGGACCGTTACAAAAAAATGAAAATTGAACCGATGTAGGTTTTGTTAATTATCACCATGGCCGAACCTTTTTTCCTTGCCTATTATTCTAGAACAGGTGGATCATCCCTACGGTGTGACCATTTTGAATGTAATTTGTTTGTTAAAATGCAAATTTCAAAATCAAATTCTAATCTAACAATAATATATTGGAAAGGAACTTATTTAATACTTACTTTGCAAGTAAGACTAAATTGGACTCGCACACTTTTCCATTAAAATATGCATTTAAATTTAGTACGTTTAGATTTAACTTTAATGACAGAAGTTTGACAGAGTATATTACAATGAGATTCATAAAACGATTCAACGGTCGGAGATGAAAGTTAGAGATAAATAAGCATTTTATATGGCAGAGTGCTTATAAATATGAAACATATTCAAATTGTTCATTGCTTCCAAATCCGAATAACTTTTAAAATCTCTCTATTGCAATAATAACCTTTACCTCAAAACTCCTTAAAGAAACTTTCAATACCGCGACATTTAATATAAGATTGAAGAGATGAAGTATTAGTGTGAAACAATGTCTGGTACTCAACATTTGAATTTCAATTTACTTAGGTTTAAAAATCATTTATCTGCTTTCTTCCTATTTATATCTTATCTTTCCACTTAATTTGTTTGCTCAAATGCATCGATTTTCTGTGTTCCTTTCTAAGTTCGTTGATTGACAAGCAGACTAAGCTCTGCCAATTCGATACAAAAGTGAAAATTATATTTTCATGCCGCTGCATTTTAAAACCATTTGAAAGGAAAAAATCTGGAACGTGCATAATAATAGAAATTTAAATTTGCGAATTAAATCTGAAGACAAAAGTAATTGGAAAGCTTTTTCAAACTGCTATACCAGAAAATTTAATTAATACAATTTTTTTTTTTTAGCGCTCTAATGTTATCCATTTAGTTGACAACATATTTCTCTTAAGCTTTTTAGACATTCCCGTGACATCATGTAAACATATATTGTTTTATCAGAAGCAGTAAGTTTTTGAATTGATACAAGTTGAAACAAGTTTAGAGAATTTTTCTGATAAAGTTTTCCGCCCTCTCTTGGCTTCATCATACTGTTATGTAAATACTCAAAGTTAACCGAAAAAAAAGGAATATGTCAAGTTGAACTGAGACATAATTTTCAATGTAGTAACTTAGCTCACCTTAGTTTCGGAAGCTCTTTTACCTTAGATCCACTTTTAAGTACGAGAAAAATAGATGACACATTATTGTGTCACCAATTGCGTAACACTGTCTTTATACATGGCCAACTTTTGAATATCTATCGAAATTCAATCATTTATGAATAAGCGTCATTTGTCTATAAATCACAAAAAATTAATCGTAGATTCTGATTTCATGTGGGGATATTAATGATGTGGTTGATGCATTGAGCAGTCATTGCCATCAGTTTGTTTAAACTCTTAAGTTGGTGACGATTTTTGGCGACATTCACTTGATTTTATTTATTAGTCTATCTTTTATGTCGATCTTCTGCCGAAGTTGAAGATTTTAGTGATTAAACGCAAAAGCCAAAAACAACTTCGCAGTTGCTAACAAATTATTTACAGTTTAAAAGAAAAAAAGAATCGGCGGGATTTAGCTTCTCTGAGCTAAATAAGAGAAGTTGTTCCAAACACTAAAAATTTTTAAATAAACAAATGACCATTGGATGATAATGATACAGTGATGGTGTCGTTCAAAATAGAACAATGGCATTTTGGGATATGATATTTAATCTATTCGAAACAATTGTACGGAACTGGTTGACTGGCTTTTTGCATCGGCATTGCAGAAAACAGAGAGGTCCATTTTAGTTGTTAGTTTTGCGCACAAACCATTCCATCAAAACTGTCAAAGTTCAAATTTAAATCTCCTATTTTGAAGCAAAAATCACAAGAATTCTACAACTTCCGGAATTTTTGTGCAATTGTTCCCAATTTTTTTGGAAGATATCCGTACATTTTTATCTACAAAACTGTAAAAAAAAATAAGCAATTGACAGTATGAAATGACCGTGAACGGAAAAGTTTCTGTTAGTGGAAGAGATGTGACAGTCACTGAGAAAGATAGGACAAGGAGGTATTATTTCTAATTAAACGTTCGATTACTTGAGTTAAAGGACAGCAGTTTCATCAATAACAATCTTTGTCATACACTAAATGTATGTCAAGGCTATTCGTTTCAGTGTCTTATTTTCGACCCGATAGTTATTTTTGAAAAACAGCCATATCAAAAAAAAAATTTTTGCATTGTCTCCTACATTTTAAATATTCAAATTTTTTAGCTCAAAATTTTTTGATAAATTTCTTAAATCACAGATAAATTTGATTCTCAGAGTGATTTATGGGGAAAAAGAGGAGAAATCGGTAGCTATACAGCACTATCAATCGCAGCAGCTTTGATTATAAAAATTATCGTAAATTTTCGTCGAGTATTTTTAGACTATCAGAACTAAATTAGCCTTCATAATTCAATTTTTACAAATCCCTAAAAAGAAAGAGACTTTTTGGGTATGATTTTTGAAGACTGTTAATCTTTTATGCAGTTATTTCGGCAATTTTTCCCTTCTACAAGCAAATTTTCGACATTTCTGATGATAATGAAATTTTGCTCAATTTCAACAGTTAAATTTGAAAAGGTTTTTGTGAAGATAAGAGTAGATTAATCTATCGTTACTCCAGACATCATTACATTGTATCGTTCCATATGGTCATCTCTACTCCTGATTTTATTCCAGCATTTATTCAAATTCTTTCGAAGTTTCTGCCTTGAAAAATTGCATTTGTATGTGCCGATTGTAATCAGTGTCTACGATCTGTTTCCAGTGAAAGCGCAAACGTAAATTTTTACTCTTTTGAAAATTGAAATTTTAATCAACATTAATTTGTTTTTCACTCCACACGATTTGTCACCGCTTTCAATAACTATTTGTCCTTCACATTTTTGTGGTCACTTCGACTCCCTTTTTTTTTCAATGTTTATTGCATTTTTCAATTAAATACTGGTTATTGCTTCAGTTAACAATGTGCTGATAGCTAGAATTGTGCGCTGACCAATGATGATTATTATTGATTAACAACTCCAGGTAAAAATGCAAGCATACAAAAAAGACTTAAATTAATTAAAACTCTCACTGTTAGAAATCATAAGACAATCAGCATAAACTAATTGGATAATTTAGTGATATCCTAAGCTTATTTAAAATATTAGTGCTATTAAGATCACGCTATTGTGACTATCCAAAGCGTCTGAAATCCAGTGATCTCTGGGGAGAACCATAAATATTATCAGATGTTATTCATTTGTACTATATAATGATTGCATAGAAATATTTCATAGTTATTTCAATAATTCGAATTTGGAAATTCAACGGTATTTGGTAGATTGCTTATAAGAATCGGTATTTAACCTCGTAACAATTCGAAAACTGAAAGCTTAGTTGAGAGTAGCAGGAATGGTTGGAAGTATCACCATCTGTCATTACAACAACTTCTACCACAATCAACAAAGACATATCCATCCATCCATCCATCCCATTCCTCCCTTTCTGCAGCAATAGCTGCAGCACTGCATTATTTCATATTCGAATTTGACCTGAGTATCTAATTGGAGAAGGAAAAGATGTGGCATATTCTCTTTAATATCTCATATAATGTCTAGATTAAAAGATTCCCTTTTTTTCTCTTTCCATTGTCAAAAAACGGCTGGGTCAAGGGTCACAAGAAAACTACGAAATTCGCTCTTTCTGTGGTTCTCCGTCATTTCCATAGTACTTTATATGGGGAGTATGCTTATATTTGAACAGCCGTGTCATAGAACAAATTCAAATCCTGTCCATCTATCCTCAGAGAGAGAGAGCAAACATTCCACACCAAAGCGGGTTTGCTACATTTAAGGAGGGAGGGAAGGGGGAACAGGAAGGGGGGACATGTCCAAAAGGAAGCACGAAAAGCATGTGAACAAGATTCACAACAAACACTTTTGAACTCTTCTATTTAAAACAAAGAAATTTTTCAAAGGGTGGATGAAGTGGAAGAAAAAAGAAGAGAGAAGAAAGAAGCTCTGCCCAATTTTCTTTTTTCATTTCTCTTATCATTCATAAGTTTGGAGGTGATAGCTGCTTCACATTAACTCAAGATAGTCTAATGTAGCACTGTCTCAATTAAATCAAAGAAATGATGGTAGTTGGAAGCGAAATGCTAAGACTGTATACTGTTGATTTTTAATGTTTAGAAATTAGAATTACTGTGGGCTACTCAAATGATATATCAATAAAATATTAGTAGGCTAACAAATTATGATTCATCTGATGATAAATTTTATAAAGTGAACTTAATCGATTCATTTATACTTGCTTTCTAATTTACAATTGTCAGGGAGTTATATGAATCAAATTGTTGATTTCAGGCTCTTTCATTCGCTGTAAAACTTTTATTCATTAACCTTACACATTGGCTCATTTTACAAAATAGCAAAAATCATATTCGTTTTTCTCCTAGATTTTCATCTCAGTCTTCTTTCCGATCGGTCTATTACCAATGTCAATCTTTCGGAAAGCTCTGCAAAACGAATTAGCTATTTCAAACGGCTAACAAATACTTAAATGAATGAATGTTTTTTAAACATTAAGTTAAACAATCAGGAATACAGACAGTTCCGTTCAGTCCTTCCGGAATAGGTATATTATATAATGTCAGAATTATTGTAGCTTTTATAATAAATAACTCGTCAAAATTGTTAGGAATTTGAAAATTTGAATTTTGTGGTTATCTTTGTGGAATAGAATAGAATCGGCAAAGGTGAAAAACGATAAGAACGCTATTTATTTACTCATATGGTGGACACTTTGCGAAAAAATATACCAAAAAATTTAGTAATCGATATTATGATTAAAAAAATACAAATCTGTCGAACATCTACGTAAAGTTCGACAGTATCCTAACCAAGATAAGGGTGTAAATTTCTGGATTTTGTGATGCGAGCTTTACAGATTTTGATGCATCAAAATTTTTGAGTAATTTTTTTTATTTTAGAATTATTTTACGCGATAAATTTACCCGATCATCTTAAAGAACATTTTTAAAAACTTCGTAGAAATTTTATCCTGTAAAAGACATTAATCTTAACTAGCGATAATGACTATTAAAATTTGAAATGGCATTTTCGGTGACAAACAATATTATCTGTTAATGGCATTATAATATTTTAGATTCTCTTAAATTTTGTTCTGATCTTTGATTGATAATTTTACGCTGACAAGGCATATTATGGAGGATAGCTCAGGAAGAAAATTAATGTTCATTTTGTTCTGGATGTATAAGGAGTTGGAGAAAAACTAGCAACTGAACAATATGTTGGAATGAACAGTAATTATAGCTAATATGAAATTAATTTAAATGATTCTAAACTACAATTAACGCTTTGCATATCATTCAATCATCCTTATCAGCAAGTCTGTTCCAACGTCTGTCTCCATCTGGCCTTGGTATATTTACTTTCATGCTTGATTAGTAATGTCGTAAATTAGCGAAAACAATGATGGGAAGTGGGATGAGCAGAGGATACCACAAGTTCACCTCTAACTAATCATTAATCAATTAAGACTAACCTGTAAGCATTATTGTTGTCTTCAATAGATGCTACTGGGTGTCAAGGTCATCGCTGTCGCCTTCCCTTGACCACTGGCTCTTTTATCTCGTTCAACTCACGCCTCTTTCCCCTACCTCTGTCAATCGACCGGCTCCGTCCCTTCTTAAGAATTATATGTGTGAGAGAGCTATATATATGTATATACATATATATAATTCCAAAAGAGCTTTACTACCCATCATCAGTCCACTCCGTCCAATCGTCCAGTCAGTACCGTCCACTCGTCCAGTCAGTGTCGGTGTACAACAAAAACTTTGCTAATATTTTAAATCTTTCAAAATTTGAAATTTGAAGAATTTGCACCAAAGCTTCAAAATTTCTAAAAAATTATCTATTCGTTGTGATGTAATCAATGTTTCGTAAGTAACGTTTTTGTAAGCTTTTACTGTTTAGTCTCAATCTTTTGTCATTAAATTTTATGATTCCATAGGAGTTTAAAGAAATTTTCAAAAGTTTTGAAATAAGAATTTAAGATTTTAATATTACTCAGCAACTTACCATGCTGAAGTTACAGTATTCCAAAAGGAGTGCGCGCATGATTACCGTAATTAGCTATCTTAATGTAGCAGATTGATGCTGAAATGACCCGCAGTGACCTTTGCGGAACAAAGTTACATTTCATAATGTCAACATGCACAGAAGTGCGCACTTTTCTATTTTCATCATCTGCGAGTTATTAAACATGAATTGTCAAGTACGTTTTTGAATGTAAGGAATCGAAATTTCTTAATTTCCAGAAGGTATTATCGAATTTACAACTCAAATTTCTTCAAATTTGTTAAATTTTACGATGTTAAAATGATAGATTTATGTAAGATTTATGATTTATTCTAAGTTAAAAAAAAAAAGAAACTAAGCTTGAATTCAGATAATCAATATATGGTCGGAAGTATCAAAAACATTAACAAAGAATTTTACAAAGAAAGATTTCTGTTATCATCGGAAAATCTTCATAGAATTTTTTAAAAATCTTATAAAGATTAAGTTAGATTTTTGTAATCTTCGCAAATGTTCAAAATTTTCGAAAATCGTATAAATCTTTAAGAGCATTCATTAATTTTTGGTAATTTTTCATTCAATTCCTCAAAATTCACTTCAAAAGTGTCAAAATTTAAATCATCGATAAGGCATAATATTAACATAAAATTGAGAGAAGCACGAGAATTGACGGATTGAACAGACCCTTGGATCTATGGATTTTGCAGCTGTTTAGTTGTTGCAAATGTTCACTGCTTTCATCGTGGAATTAATCAACTGAAAAGATAAGAAGTAGAGAAGAAGGAAGCACAAATGATGTCAGATTGGCTTTTCGTGTTCTTGTAAGCAGCGATGCTAGACATTGTCCAATATTGGGTCTTCATTCAAATTTGAAATCTGAATTAATTAGTTGTAAAATTGTCTTCCAAATAGGATGAGCATTTCGTGCTTTAATACTTCATAGCGTGCTTATTTATGCTTATGCCTTAATTATCTTTTACCTCTTGCGAATCCATAAGTTCGAATTTACGGATTTAAGGATATTTTCTAAATTTTCAATTTTTTGAATGTTTAGACACTAGTTTGAAATTATTAAAACATTCTTGTTCAGCTCAGATTTTGTGAAATAGCTATGAAATAGTTATAGTTTATTATTAAAGTATTCAAATTTCAGGAAAAAGGAGAAAGGGTCAGAAGAGCAGCAGCGCAGTCGAAGTTCACTGCAACTCTTCAAATGCGTTCAAATGCTGCCATCTATCTACCTATATCCTCAAAATAATAATTCCGGCTATCTGTTAATAGAGCAAACTGAAATTCCATATTAATCCAGCACGAAGCATTACTTACCATTGCTGAATTGAATTTACAATCAATTGGTGTCTTAAACTTTTCCCATCCTTTGATAACACAAAAAAGCGCTCTAGCCATTCCAACAGGTGATTTACTGGACATTGTCCATTTTGTTAATATAAATGTTAAAGAGACTCACATATGGTTCCAATCAGATGCTACTCGTATGTGACGCAACCTTTAAATACCATCTGGAGATCGTCCTCGGAAATATGCTAATGAAAAATGATTAACTACAGAGAGTAACCCTTTTTCTAAAAACAAAACAAAACAAAATTTTTGCAAATTTTTTTTCCGAATTGCAGTTAAGACATGAAGAAAAATAGCAAAAGTGAGGGAGTAAATAATTGACAATTAAGCAATTAGGCAATTAAGCACAGATGACTAAAAGTCAACACGAAATGATGAGATAATTATGACATTTCAGTAAGCAAATTACGCTGAAAACATATGAGACGAAGTTTTTTCTTTCCACTCACATTCATTGCAAATGTTTCCGACGATTTTCTCCTCGTCAGCTCAAAGGTTGAAGTTTATTATCAATTTCTTTGAAAAAAATTAAAAAATTTCTCCATTTAAAATTTTGTTACGTATTTTTAACAAATGGCTTATAGTATCGATTGAATAAAATTAAATAGCTCTCGCTTTCTTTTTCATTATTCTCAATCATCAAACAATTAATTATTTAATTTTTTCTCCAATATTTATTTTATATACGCCAGTTAATGACTATTCTTCCTTTGATTTTATAATTCATATAATCCGATGTTTACTTAAAATCACTTTTAGTTCAATTTCCTGTCATTATTCAATTCAATTTAATTAATGTTCAGTTTATACCACTATTCAATTTCCTGCTTTATTTTTGCCTTGCAATAACAAATTCAAACAAGGAAGATTCTATTTCAAATTACCCTAACTTATTTAAGGAATTTATTATAGCACCAAAAGTCCCTATAAACACAATAAATGCTCTGATAATGTGACTGTCATATTATCAAAGCTCTGTTGATCCTTTGTTTTAAAGGAAAAAGCTAACAAAAGAAGACATGTGGTACTTTCTCCTCATATTATTGATTGTCGTAAATTAATTTGAACATATTATGACCACTTCTGTAAGTAAACACTTTCGTTCATTACAAAAGAAATATCCCGCCGGCATCGGTCCTTATTTCTTTGTTACCTTTGAACTATTAATCGTTTGTCATATTAAAAATTCTATAAAAATACCATCCTCAGATAACCTTCCTCTAATTTAAATCTAAACTTCGAACTAAAATTAGTAACAAAAATAATTAAATAAAGTTAAATAATTTTCCGTAAAACTATTTAAACTTTAGAACTTTTTCCACTATCTTTCTCACCTTCAACGTCAAATATTGAGAAAAATAAAGAGTAGATTAATCAAATATTTATACAATGTCCTTCTAAATAATATTTTTAAATTCTCAAATAACCAAAACGACGTAATAATTGATATTAGTTGATGCTTATCGTTGCATTCCATCTAAGCCGCGTTAACTTTAATGAATTCAATGAAAACCGAACTTCTCTTATTTGATTTTTACTATTCTTTAGACTGCAACATCCAAATCGAACAATTAATTGTTCTCGAATGTTTTATCAACATTCAGAATGTATATATTTCAGGTCAGCTGCTGATAAAAAGAATGACGGGAGCAATCTAGCCGGTTAATTTTATTTTGATTTCTTCTTTGTCCCATATGTAATTAGATTGTAATCAAAGATTTAAAATGTATTTAATAATTTAACAACTGATACCTAAGAAAAAAATGGCATATAGTGCATGATAAATACTTGGTATCATTTTATTTAAAATTGAAATTTTAATTCGAACACTTGTATCACAGTTGCTTTGCTGATGCAAACATAGTATAAATTAATTATTTAGGAAGGATGGACGATGTTCAGAGTGAAAATTCACAAACTGAAAAATCCTCTAGTAGGAAGCAGATGGAAGGGGTAAAATTCACGAAAAATTTTTTTATTGTTTCATTTCTGATAATTTTTACTTTTATTTTTTTCACAATTCTTATTGAAATTTATGGATTTTGCCTTAGATTTAATTAATGATTTGATATACTTTATATTTCATTTAATGGAAATTAGCAGAAATGATTGTTTTCAGACAGCATTGGCAATCTTAATGGAGAATAGTGCCCAAGTATTCGGAAGCGCAGAGAATAAATTCAAAAAACGATTATTTTCTAACATTACTAACTGGTAGGATACCTCAAATAACTCATAGTTGATTGGTCTTTTGAATTAATAATATATTGGAAAAATAATACAAATATAAAATTTGAAATTTTGAAAAGTGTTAAAGTTTATTGGTTGGTTAGTGTATTAAATAATGAAATTTTGCACTCCCAAATACCGGGAAAGAAAAAAAATCTGTTGCACCCATTGGGAATAACATGCAAGGAGAAATAATGCTGTCGTGACAATTTTGCAATGCCTAATCGATAATGTTGTTAAATTCATGGCTGTCTTAAAAAAATCAGTCTATTTTACCAGACAAGAAATATCAATTAGTTGAAATTTAGCACTGAAACTATTTGTTAAAGAGAACGAAAAAGTACGATTATTTATTTTCAGCCAAAATAGCAGATATCAGAAGCGAAATGTCCAGAAGAATGACCGGTTACAAACTTCCATTACGAATTATGCTGTCGTCAAACATAGGCCATCAAATTTTGAGAATTTAAGAAAAACGGTAAATGAAGAAGCTGTGGAAAACGTGAAACAGACTGGATGGAATGATAACACATCTCTTTACTATCCTCGGTCAACTTCCGAAATTGACATAGAGGATGAAATGACGGATGATTCATTATGTCCCAAGCAAAATGATAGTGATATCGAAATGAATGAATTACAAATCCGCTTCAATCAAACACTCGGGAAGCGTTTCAGTGTAGCGCAGCAGGATGTACGTGAAGATGTGCAACAACCACTAATTAAACGGCGGAAAGAAGTAATTTAAATAATTTACCAAAATAATAACTTAGCAAAAATTGCTTGAAGCGTAAGCCCTGGAAGTTACCTTATGCTTATAGTTTGAGGTTTCTCAAGATTTACCTGCAAGTATAAAGTCATTCGATGGTATCAATCTTGCAAACTTCTCTTCTACTCCTGCTAGATGACCTTGTTTAACCTTCGGTTCTGTCATCTCTCTTTCATCCCATCTCCAGAATATATTCTATTCTGTGAATATGGAACTTGCCAGGTCTCACCAACAATAACGTTTCATTTCAT